AAATATATATAATAAGTTGAAATGTTATCGGAAACCTTTCTATTTACAGGACAATAGACTAAAGAGTTTCCAATTACCAAGCCCAATAAATTGGTAACTAGAATCTCTTTAGAAATGTCGGACAACACACTTTATTGCAGTCGTCCTGTCGAACTGCTTTATAATTGCACAGAGACATTCAAAAATTCTATACAAATGTTTTTTTATGTAAATAATTATATGGAAATATGAATAACATATCTTCTCTCTAACATCTTTATTTTATTATATGAATAAAAAGTTTTACGAAAAACTATCACAAATATATATAATATTTAGAAATGATATCAGAAACGTTTTGTAGTTACAGAAAAAGTAAGACTTTTCAATTGCTTGTACACGTTTGTAGCTGACAAACTATCTCCAAGAATGCGTGGCTTCTTCGATGAAAATTTTTCCCTACAAACCCGAGTCGATGCATATTCGTTGAAAACTATTCATTTCGCTATAATATATCTTTCTGAGCTCAACAGGCATATGAACGTGAATTTTATCGTCTAATAAACAAAACAAGGGCCTCCCATACACTAGCATAAGAAGGAGGAGTTTTGTAGATAAATTTATAAATACGGGGTGTGAACAAATATCTTATTCGTTGAAACACACTTAGTTTATGTAGATAAAGACCAATCAGTGCCTACATCGCCACAACAAGTGAACTGGTTCAAAGCAATTGTACGTTGCATTACGCGCAGTGTCGTGTTTCAAAATCAACCATATTGAATTAAATATTTAACTTTTATACAATAATTTTTAGTTGTAGTTCAAGTTTTATTTATACTTTTATTTAGATATGTAATGTAAACTCATTTTTCCACATTATCTTATTATAAGTAGAAATTTATAAATTTATTCTTTCATATTTCATTATTATTACATCTAAATAGTAAAATCTATTTTTATATCATTAAATTTATGTTAATTTCATGTTTTGTCATGTTTATTTTCTGTAATTAGTTTTTAAACTAAAAATATCGAACTTTCAAGAATGACAGCTTTCCTGCAATGTAGCGAACTTTTACAGGAAAGCATCGATCGCAGGCGTTGTCCCTGTAAAGTTGTTTATCCATGAGGAAAAGGAACCATTCAGGAGGCAACTTCAACACCTTCACAAAAATTAACAGAAAAAAAATGTTTTTTTTCTTATAAATGTTTTTACACAATAATAAAAAAGAGTGAGAATTTCTAATACATACTTAGTCTGAACTATGTTGACATGAAGGGGTTAAAATAACCTTTTCAGCTGAGTATCTGATACTGTAAATTCAACTGAAGGTTTAGTATGAGATTTCTGTTTTATATAATAAAAAAAAGACAACTGTTCTCTCTATACTTCTTATTTATACTCAGTATTACATTTGCATTTTAAATTTAATCTGGCCCACTGTCATACTTGATACAAAAATTTGGCATTTAACGAGTTTGAGTTTGACACCCCTGGGCTAATAGACCAAGAAGAGAAAAGATACGAAACACACAGGGGCAGAGTGAAAGACAACAGACTAATGGAACAGGAAGAGAAAATATACAAAACATACAGGAGCAGAGTGAAGGTCCACAGATTAATAGACTAAAAAGAGAAAATATGCAAACATTGTTGACGCGTTTTTTAACATTTGTTCAAAATACGTCATACATGACGAATCACAGTTCGTTGTTTCTGGTTCTGGTCGGACGTGTTTTTTTTGTGCTCTTTGATTACGTGCTGTTTTTTGCAGTTTCAGGACTTTTTCATAAAAGATTAAAGATTTTTCAGGTAAGTCTTAATCCATATTGACCCTAGACATAAGAATTTATTTAATATTACTTGGAGAATCGGCCCCAGAAGACATGTCAGCACATCATTCAATGGTCGATGGTTTGCACTTCGGATTCAAATGTTTTACATTTAAAAAGGCAGCTGCGGTGAGCATTTTGCTTTAACTCGAAAGAATTTAAGCATTAATTTAAGCTTTTTGTTTTCACTGGACTAATTGCAAATTTTCTATTTTTACAGAATGAATACGTTGGTGCGGCTTTGGAGGTGGCGGTTTCAGCAGAGGCAAAAAATGGTGCAGGAGGGTGGGGGTTCCTTGGATGACGCAGAACGAGTCTGTCGTTACATGCTGTTGGATGAGAGGGGCTCGACGAGCGAGAGGCAGTGAGTGAAGAAGACCTTCCCCAAGTGTGCGTGGGGTGGCATCCTTCCAGAGTCGGGATGATGCAACGCTACACCCTGGGTCCAGTGCACTTGGCCAAGGTCTTTGGGGGTCATCTGGCCACAGACCTTGCTGTGGAGGATGTTGAAAGTGACAGCTCGTCCGAGCTCACATTTTCTGGTTGGTCGCATTCTGCCCATTCGTCCGCGACGCCACCGCCTTGTTGAAGTCAGAACGAGGAGAGAGCCGCCAAAGTTGAGAGACTATGCTGTCTGTGGTTTTGTTGCTGCAAACAACTGTGGTTCCCTTCGCCCAGGTGGTGATCCTCTTCGATTTCCTCTTCTTCACCCAAATGCGACTTTCTTACTGGATTTGACACTTTTCACCCGGACTCGACACCTTTTCCCAGACTCGACCTCTCTTACCCGGCAAGACCCACGGACTTGTCTCCCTAATAGTGACCACCCGGACGCGACATGTTTACTCACCAGACGCAACATTCGGTTGACCTTTCTTCCCAAACAGCTGTTATGAGGATTGAGCTTCCGGTTAAAGTACATTAAATTAGACTAGATCAGGTCTTTCGTTCTTCTAAGATTGTCTAATGAAGGTAATAATCTCGACCTTAGGTAATAGATGAATAAACTGCTCGTTTTCTCACTGCCTTTGTGTTTTGTAGGAACATTTGGGAAAGAGAAGAATTTCCCTCCCCGACTTTACCACAAAGAAGACCAAGTGGTCATTTATCGTACAAGTGAATAATCTCCGAAATCTCTGATGGTAAAAAGTCTTTCGTTTCACTTTTTAATACATCTTATTCTCATATCGTAATTTACTGTTTTCTGTTTATAGACATGCCAAAGATGTTCTTCAGTCACACACATGCGCAGACATAACGTCACTGTACACAAAGATACACACCGTTTAACCTTTACTCAAATTCTCGCACTCACGCACTTACACGTTAAGCGCCTCGTTCTGTGTAATCCGACACAATGAAACAACCCGAACACTCGCTTCCCACAAATCCAACTCCTGAGTCCTCATCCCGGGAAGTGGAAACGCCAATTTTAAAGATTAAAATGCTTTAAATTGGCAGCCGAATGGGCTCTGGTAATCACACATCTTGCATTGATTAAATTGAATTTCAGACATTAGCATCAATAATCGTGTGGTGATGAATTTTTCTGTTAAATCTCTGAAAATTTAGTATGGTAAAAAATTATCTGCACACAAATCTCTCTCATATTTCAGTATTTCTAACTCTTGCCTAAGACATTTAATTAAAGATCTTCATGCTCATCATTTATTTCATCACACTTGCAATATGGCAGCTAGTGATTATTTTTGTTTTGTTTCGTTTATAGAAGGCCATTTTAATCTTATCCATCCTCAGTTTCTGAAGATCCAGCCAAACTGTCTTCACACAACAGATACAGATCAGTCTGGGTTCTTCAACAGCCCGTAATCAAAATAGTAGACTAAAGTCTTAACCATTTGATCATCATCTTGATATACTAAGTGTTGAAAATATAAAAAGTAGTGACACTTCCATATAAAGAGTTTCTAATTGTACACTAGATTATAATGCCCATTGGCAAGACAGAGGTGGGTCCAATGAACGCGACAACTTCCAAATACCCTTAGACAGTGACAAATAACCATTTGGAGGGCCGACGCGGCTATAATACCCATTAGCAAGTCAGAGGTGTGTCCAATGATTGTGACAGCTTCCAAATACCCTTAGGCAGTGACAAATAACCATAGCTGACGCAGCTATAATGCCCGCTGGCAGGTCTGAAATAGGTCCAATGGATGCAACAGCTTCCAAATACAACCTTAGACAGTCACGAATAACCATTTGGAGAGCTGACGTGGCTATAATGCCTGTTCGCAGGTCAGAAGTGTGTCTAACTGATGCGACAACTTCCAAACACCCTTAGACAGTGACAAAGTTTTAGTTAGCAACTTCTTACAAAATATCTCAAAAGAAAAGCCAACAGAAAAAATAGTATGCCTAAATGCGTATTTGGCAGCTGTTCAACCAAGGAATCCAATTCACCCTCATTGACTCAGACTTCTGGTGGCAAGTATATAGAGCAAACTGTGACAGTTACTCCAATAGAAATTCTGACTGCCACAGCTTGCAAATCAGTGGTTATTTGTACGGGTAAGGATGAGATGTGGTTTGAAACCAGAATAGCAACACCTCCACTGGCACGGTTGTGGCTATCATCATCCTTTCGGTAAAGGTCGAATCCTTTCAAGGAAATTTTTTCTCCAGGTTTTAGATGGGTTTCCTGGAGTGCCACACAGAGAGATTGGGTAGATGATGTCAAGTGTTTAACATCAGAGAAGTTGTTGCAGAAATCACTACAGTTCCATTGGATTATTTTATAATCCATTATATGTTTGAGGCAGCATTTTTAGAAAGGATATCCCTCTTTAATTTCACAAGAAGTTTTTCTTTTACAGGTGACGTTGGTTTTGTCACCTGCATATTAGTCTCTTCATCAGAGAGATCAGAAAACTCACTCATAGAGTGAGCCTCCGAGTTTTTACATTTAGAGAGAGCCGCTTTCACTCTTTGTTTGTTTAGTGGGTTCTTGCTAGCCTTTTTAGAACACAGGTTTCTCGTTATTACCCGTTTTAGGAAGGGGTGTTTTCGGTTTTATACTCTCCTTTTCTGGTGTTTCTTTTGGTGAAATCAGTAAACATTTCGCATGACGGGTCAGAGATTCTTTTGGGGAAACAGAAATATCTGTTCGAACCCGCATGTCTTTGTAGACTTCAATGCAGCAGCGAATGTCTTTGTTTAGGTGGTACACTTGGAGTGACCATGCAACAGGCTTCTGGGTATGAAATGTTATTCACAGTTTTTACCTGTTGAATCTCTTTTTCTCTTTGCCATGCAGGGCATTTTCGAGAGTAAGCTGGATGGGCATCTTTGAAATTCACACAGCATGGAGTACCAGTACACTTCAGTACTCTGGTGGCTTTCGATTCCACACTGTGCACATAAGCTTTTGCTTCGGCAGGAGGACTGGGAATGTCCAAATCGCTGACATTTGAAGCAACGCAGCGGATTTGGAATATACGACCAAACTGGGCAGCGCAAATATCCTGCCATAATGAAAGATGGCAATGTTGATTTGTTAAAGCTTAAAATTAAGTGTTTAGTAGGAATTAACTTGCCATCTCGACAAATGGTGATGCACCTTGATCAGAGAGGCCGATCTGAATATCTGATTCATCTTCAGACATCAGATCGATCTCTGATATAACCCCACGTGATGAGTTTAGACTTCCATGAGGGGTGACAGTGACTTCTATGTCTCTGAGGGTCTTTATTGGCAAAAGTTTTGCAGACTGTTGAAATGAGGCTGTTTCTAAAAGGAGATCTGCTGACCTGAATTTTTGTATTTTTTTCAAATTTCCAACTGTAGATTCAAACAATTTCTGTATCAAAAAAGGAGAACATTTTGATAGAGGTGTTTCTCCAGTAGCATGAACTATCAAGTAGGTTGGCTGACTGGGAATGTTTGGTTTCTTTGTAGAATTGTCGGTAGTTTCTGTTTTTAGATGATCCATAATTATATAATATTAATTCAGGTCCCAGTGACCCCACCCACCAACGGGCCCAACAATGGAATGCTGTCACATGGGATACTACCATAGACAATCGCACCAGGGTTTCCCAGGAGCTATACCCTCACAATGCAGTCAAGAAGTGCACGTCTTTTCTGATGTGTCCACCCAGTCTGCATCGATCAGTCGACTCCAGGCCGAGGTCAAAATTGACTCAACAACCAGACGATTGACACAAATGGAGCCTGATTTGTCTTCCGTTTATCCGAAGGAGGGGCCAAAGCAGTGTGTTGGGGACATTATGTTGCCCCTCAACTACCAGGATCTCCCTTTCTGGCATAACACCATGGCAAACACGTGGGTGGGCGTTCAGATCCCAGGGATGGTAAAGAAGAGTTACTAAACCATCTCTGGGCAGTCCCTCACCACGGACAGGAACCCACATCGAGGGGACTTGCTTGTTTAGAACAAGCACGATTTTAGAAAGGCCAGAGTGATGTGAGGATCCGAATCCTAACTTTCAGTATGTTTACATTATCATCTCATAACATCACACCATAGCTACAATCTCGTGAAATAACTGTCAACTTTTACACCTGGGAGAAAAACATCTGTTAGGTTCTCAGACCCAGAAACAACACTTTCTCATCATTTCCTGACCTAATACCTCAATTTCATCAGTTCAATATAGAACAGAACAAAGAAGTTACAACGTCGTCGCCAGTCCCTCAAAGGAATATTATCCCCAATCTAGTGCCTATTTCAATTCTAAAAGATACACTTTGTTCTTGCGCACCTAGTTCTTGTGGATATTCAGTTAAACGTATATTTCCTCTTCTATGGTACTCCTTTTTTTTCAAGATGAACTCTACCTCAGATCAAGATACTTGACAATATGATCCAGAGCAATCCAAAGAACCTCTCAACAAATAGTGCCAGACTATTGCCGAACATCATCATTATCTCAAGGTATTTGTTGCCACGTGCATTTCCTGTAAACTCTCTCTCTCGAAATGCAACATTAGGCCTAGCTATCCCTATTGATGCCCTGTACAATCATGAATTTCTTGTCTTTTACAAATAATAATGTTTCGTTAACGAGGCCTCTGCGTGAGTCACTTTTGATGCGCTGTCTCTCACTCCATCCCAAACCCGATCGCTCCATTACCCGACTGCTTGCATGACCTATTTCAGAAGTATGGTGCTTCCGTATCAACCGAGATGCAGTGGTGTCAATCCTGACAAGGCATCGAAGAGGTGCTGACCCCCCCGGTCACAATAAGATAGGCTGGTTGATTGGGAAAACTGACATCCCTTGGTGGCAATGCATCGGTATATGATGTTTTAGTTTTTAACGAATCCATATTTAGAAATAATTGTTCAGCTCCTAGTGACCCCACCCACCATGGGGCCCAACAAGGAGATGCTGTCACATGGGAGACTACCATAGACAGTCATACCAGGGTTTCCCAGGAGCTATAACCTCACAATGCAATCAAGAAGAGCACATCTTGTTGATATGTCCACCCAGTCTGCATCGATCGGTTGACTCCAAGCTAAGGTCAAGAATGACTCATTGACCAACCGATTGACTCAAATGGAGCCTGATTTGAGCCTCCCGTTTATCCTAAGCAGAGGCCAAAGCAGTGTGCTAAAGATGTTATGTTGCCCCCCTCAACTAATAGGCTCCCGCTTTCTGGCATACAGGATATCATGCAGGACAAACACACGAGCGGGCATTCAGATCCCAGAGATGGTACAGAAAAATTACTAAACCATCTCTGTGAGGTCCCCTCACCATGGACAGGAACCCACACCGAGGGGCTTATTTTCAGATTTTCTTTGGTAACAAAGGAAATTGAGAAGCCCTACTCAGTGACAAATTTAGCATTTGAGAGATCCCAGGCGCAGTTCAATTTTGAGGCCCATCTCTAAATATTTTCATTAACTCTACATCGTACAGTGTTCATTGTATGTGAATGTTTTTTTACTCTGAAAATTAACCATGTCTCACTTTTTTGGACCGCCAGTATAGTGCCTACCAATGTTATTTCCCTAATATAAAACTGCAACTGCCTGGCTTTATTCAAAAGGTAACTGATGTTCAGATTGTATTAATTATGAAAATTAAAACTTATTGGTACAAGATTTATTAAGTTTAAATAGGTATATGTTAAAACAAAGAAATTCTAGTAATCCATGGATATAAAAAATAATTTATTTTTAAATTTACTACTGATTATCACCAACAAAACATGTTATAGCTGGCATTTTTGATTTCTGAATTTAATTCAGGGAATACTACTTAATTATTAATTACTTTAATTATTAAAAAAATAATAATTGAATCATTTTTTTCTAATTTTGAGCCCCCTTGATTTATGGTTGGTTGGTTGGTTGGTTTGTTAAGGTTTTTTGGCACAAAAGCCATATAGGCTATGCTGCGCCATGCCAAATGGTAAAATTAAAAAGGTCATATATACATATATTAAAAATTAATAACAAATAACAATAACAAACATATACAACAATAACAATAAATAAAAACAAGGTATATAAAAGTATAGATAAATGAATAGGTAAATAAATAAATATTCAAATTTGTTTATAAATATTAGTGACTTTCAGAAAGTCTAGTAAATTATTGACATTTGGCCTTTGGCCAAGGATTTCTGTCAGACAAGCATTTCCGAAATATTGTCTATGCCTTGTCTTGAAAGCAGAGCAATTGCACAGCATGTGTTTTACACTTAGGGTGCAGTTGCAATACTCACATACTGGCTGGTCTTCACCCTTCAAAAGGTATAAATGAGTCAACCGAGTATGCCCAATTCTCAAACGAGTAAGAATTACTTCAAATCTCCTGTCATAATGTTTGTTACGTGTCCAATTTTCTATATTTGGCTTGATCTCGTGTAGTTTATTGTGGATTTGTGCATTCCACATGTTTTGCCATCTCTCCGCTAGTCGTTTTTTAACTACTAGCTTCAAGTCACTTCCTTCGAGACACATTTCATGCTGTGAAGGACTAGCTGCCTTTGCAGCTGCATCAGCTTCTTCGTTCCCTCTTATGCCAACATGCCCAGGTACCCAACAAAATTTTATAGAGAGATTCCTCGTAAAAAGATGGCAAATAAGATTATGAATTTTAATCACTATAGAGTGAGAACTAGGTTCGCACGAGATCAAAGCCTGAAGTGCACTAACAGAGTCGGTGTAGATCACACAGCAACGATGACCTTTCCTATTTACATGCTTTAAGGCTAAATAAATAGCATGCAACTCTGCAGAAAAGATGGAAGAATTCAATGCAATTTGTTCTGCCACGATTTCATCCTGGCAGACGAAAGCTGAGCCAACGTAATCATCAGATTTAGATCCATCTGTATAAATAGGAATTAAATTCCTGTTACTATGTTGAATTTCTGCAAAGTGCTGTCTATAGACGTAGTCAGGTGTGGATTCCTTAGGAAATTGCTTTAGGCTAAGGTCAACATTTATCACAGGAGTTGACCAAGGTGATACACTACAGACCTCTAGCTGTGAAATGTTGCCTGTATCCAGGTCAATCGTGCTGCTCACATTCTCCATTCTTATGGCGAATAAAGGGACACTACTTGGGCGAGCTTCAAATAATCTTTTCAGCTGAGTATCTAATACTGTACAATCAACTGAAGGTTTACTAAAGGACTTTTGTTTTATATAATAAAAGAGAGACAACTGTTCTCTCCTAAGAGATAGTGGAGGCTCATAAGCATCCACATACAGACTTTGTACAGGAGAAGTTCGAAAAGCACCTGTGCACAAACGTAGTGCTTGATGGTGGATTGGATCCAGCATCCGAAGAGTAGATTCTCGCGCTAACCCATAAACAATGCATCCGTAGTCCAGCTTTGAGCGGACAAGGGCCCTATAAATCCTGAGCATAGAACATTTGTCTGCTCCCCAGGATGAGCAGCACAGTACCTTTAAAAGATTCAAAGATTTTAGACATCTACTCTTCAAATGGCGCAAGTGCGGCAAAAACGTTAGTTTATGGTCAAACAAAACACCCAAAAATTTTGCCTCATTCACCATTGGGATTTTGACCCCATTTAAGTAAATTTCAGGATCCAAGTGCAACCCACGCCTTTGGCAGAAGTGGGTACACGAGGTCTTCTCAGTGTTAAAACTAAAACCATTGGTCTTGGACCAATGGTCTATGCGATTTAGGGAGGTTTGCAGTTGTCTCTCAATGAAACTCATGTTGCTAGACTGGCAAGAGATCTGAAAGTCATCCACACACAAAGAGTGTTTCACACAAGAGGGAAGACAGTTAGCTATGCTATTAATTTTAATTAGGAACAGAGTCACACTCAAAATACATCCTTGAGGAACACCTTCTTCTTGGACAAAAGATCTAGATAGTGTGTTGCCCATCCTAACTTGGAATCTTCGATTCTGCAGGAAGTTTTTTATAAAAACTGGCAAATTACCCCGCAGTCCGAATTCATGTAAATCACGAAGTATTCCGTAACGCCAGCAGCGATCATAGGCCTTTTCTATATCAAAGAAAACAGACACTAAGTGCTGTCGTCTAACAAACGCTTCACGTATGGATGTTTCAAGTTTTACTAAATTGTCCGTGGTACTTCTGTTCCTACGAAATCCACTCTGATGTGGTGAAAAGTAGTTCTTTTCCTCTAGGAGGAACATCAGGCGTCTGTTTATCATCCTCTCAAAAAGTTTACACAGGCAACTTGTTAAAGAGATTGGTCTGTAATTAGAGGGATTCTTCCGGTCTTTACCGGGTTTTGGGATAGAGATAATAATTGATAGTCTCCAAGAGTCAGGAAAGGTATTTTCTGTCCATATTCTGTTAAACAGATGCAGGAGATTAGAGAGGGAATTGTTTGACAGATTTTTAATCATGCTGTAGTGTATTTTATCCGGGCCTACAGCACTATTCCCTGCGCGAGAAATCACTGTTTGTAATTCGATTCTAGTGAATGGCACATTATATT